ATTTAATTGGAAACCAATTAGGGTAAGCCTTTTTTTTTTTTTTTGGTATATATACAGTTAATTGTGGTCGGATTTGAAATTCTAATCTTAACCCAAAATCAAGGTTTTAAACTTAGTACAAACCAATTCGATAAGACTCTTATTAGTATTAGGTAAGGCTCAAATGGTGAGGAGTGAAGTCACCATGTTGAAAATAAAGGTTTGAATTTATCCTTTTCCATTTGGGTACAAACAATTCTAAGGAGCCTTATCATGTGAATGCATACATACGACAGCAAGACATAAGCCCCTACACTTTAACAAGAAGACTTCGAGCGAGGATCACCATTACGTGCTGAACCCGGCAACATTGATTGGAAAAATTTAAAAAGACTATTTAAGTGAGATTAAGAAAGGAAAATGATTTAGACACTCTTTGACTCGAGTCACATGCCAACACTCAGATGACTTAACCATTAAAATATAATATAGATGCAGCTGATTTAACTAGTTCTTTTATGCTCTATGTATGAATGCATTTTTAAGTTTTTCCCCTCTTAATTCTATATAAGAAAATAATAATTTTTTAATAAGTGTATTGTAGAGTATGTTATAGTGAAAGGTGTCTACATTAACATCTAAGAAATTTGTAACAACTACCAGTGAGAACCTTAAATTGGGTTACTAATATCTTTAACTTTAGAAGTGAAATAGGTTATTTAAGCAATCATTTCTAATTGGTGTCCTTTCTCCTCATCTTTTTTCCTTTCTGTTTCCTCTGTCTAGTGTTATTGACCCATTTGATTTTCCATACTGATCACCAGTTGTTGATCCCGTTTCTGCATTTAATAATTTTCTTGTTATAGCAGAAGATTAAGTTATAATGTCACTATAACGTACTCATACCGGCCAGCAACATTAGCTGTACCAATTTGCAAAGACTATTCAAGTCAAGACTAAGAAATCTGTCAGAATGTGTGGCTGTAACCATAATGCTTCATAAATGTGTTCAGTCCTACAAAAAGACTAGTGCTATTGACCCATTTGATTTTCCATGCTGATTACCAGTTGTTGGTTCCGTTTCTGCATTTAATAATTTGCTTGTTATAGTGGAAGATTAAGTAATAATGTCACTATAACATACTCATACCGGCCAGCAACATTAGCTGTACCAATTTGCAAAGACTATTCAAGTCAAGACTAGGAAATCTGTAAGAATGTGTGGCTGTAAGCATAATACTTAATAAATGTATTCTGTCCAACAAAAAGACTTAAGCTAGAAAGGTTGATGGAACCTGAAATTGAAAGATCTAGGCAATAACTATAACTGACATTGAAAAGAAGACTTAAGATCACTCTAACGCATTCAACCTAGCTACAATCACTAGATAAATTTGCAAAAACTATTCAAGTCAAGATCAAGAAATCCATAAGAATTACATCTTTAAAACCTCATTTGCTTCAAACTTAAATCCTTTAATAGAAGTTCTAAACCCGGTAGCAATGGCTCAAGACCAAATTTGCAAAGACTACTCAAGTCAAGATTAAGAATTCATAACTTCATTATGAGCTGATTCATTTCATTCAAAACTTAAATCCTAGAATATAGTAGGGAACACGCAATTAGTACCAAAGCTTCAAAATACAAATATAGGTACTTTTCACATAGTTTTAACTTGCACAAACCCAAAGATAATTCAATTAATTCATTTATTCATGTCCCATTCCATACATTAAATTCAAATTCTAACAGCATTCCTAGGCCATAAAAGTCCTTGCTCAATACAATAGGAAGCAACAAGTGAGGCGTAACATCAGAAATTTCTTGACAAAACATTCACACATCACTACTAGCTGAGGCTCCATTTAGTACGGTTGTCGTTTTGAATTTTTGGTTTTGGTTTTTAAAAATTTAGAAACCCTAAAGTAAAACTAAGTAGTTCTATACATTGACAAGTCAATAAAATTTGGTTTTGGTTTTGGTTTTCCAAACATTCATAACTCTATACATAGAAGGGCATTGTTAAGTCAAATCCCTACGTGTAAATGGCCTTCTTTACTTAATTATCTAAATTCGTCAAAGGCATAGTTTAAATCTGTAACTAGTGCTGTAGGTTATGCTTCCATTCTAGGCTATAATGCCTCTGTTCTAGGCTATAATGCCATGTTTTAGAGATTTTGATATAATCCTTTTTTATTTTCAATAATAATCTCTAATTTCCATAAAAAAAAATTAAGTAGTTCTATAAATTAATTAA